ATGCTTTTACTATGCATAGTGCCTAATGAAGTAAGAGGATGGATTGATGGGTTTTTTGGGGGGATAAATTACTACAGCTGCTAGATGCAATTAGAGTTTACAGTACTTTCAAAGTCTCTGTACAAACACCTTTAATTAATGGATTGAGTCTAATTATTTGTGCTTGGGGCTTAGTATTGTACCTCAGGTGAAAAGTAATTGGTTAAAAAAAGAGAAGTACTTGCTTGTCTCATTTTCTTCTTTCTAATTAGTTGTGGGAATTAATTTTTAAAAGAACAAACAAAGTTCCTAAAATGAGGTGAAGTTTTATATTTGTTGTAAAAATGTGATTGAGGGTGTGTTTACAGTGCATAGTTCACTTCCAAATATTTTCCTGTTTGACATCTGGACTGTGGCTCTCTTTCAATTTCCTACAACCGTGCTTCTCAAACTAATGTGGTAAACTGGCAATTGTTATTATTTCAGAAGGGTCAGAAACATGGATTATGTGTGTGCCTACTGGCTACAATGGCTTCTTTTTTTTTGCTAGAAACTAATTAGAAATGGTTTATTGAGTGGTGTCATCCATATGCTACTACATTTAAGTAGCATTGCCATATTATATCTCCTCTTTTTAATACAGATTCACTAAGGCAGCTACTAATAGAGTGAAATTTCAGTATTCTCCAAAGTTTCATTCTTTTACATTTAAAGCATAGATTGTAATCCAATAATAATAATAATAATAATAATAATAAGAAGAAGAAGAAGAAGAAGAAGAAGAAGAAGAAGAAGAAGGCAGTGAAGAACCAACATTGAAGGAAATTAATAGTAGTAAACTGCTTAAAGTGCAAAAGACAAAGAGTGACTATCGTAAAAACACAATCCAGAGCAGAAGAGAAAATTGGTGAAAGAAGGCTCTCCATGGACAGTTCCTGGGAAAAATTGAGAGCCAAATTGAAAAAGAAAAAAAACATAGCTGTGGCTCACAAATGCAACTTTGACAAAGGAGATGGAGGGCCTGATTCTGGCAGCCCAGGAACAAGCCATTAGAACAAATGCCATCAAATCCAGAATTGAAAAGTCGACAACAGATCCCAAATGTAGACTCTGCAAGGAAGCAAATAAAACAATAGATCACATCCTCAGCTGCTGCAAGAAGATTGTGCAGACAGAGTGCAAGCAGAGGCATAACACCGTTGCTCAGATGATTAATTGGAATTTGTGCCACAAATACCATCTGCCTGCAACAAAGAACTGGTGGAATCACAAGCCGGAAAGAGTTACAGAGAATGAACATGCCAAACTCCTCTGGGACATCCGAATTCAGACTGACAGAGTTTTGGAGCACAATACTCCTGACCTCACGATCGTATTAAAAAACAAAGTGTGGATTGTTGATGTTGCAATCCCAGGTGACAGCAGAATTGAAGAGAAACAACTGGAAAAGCTGACACGATATGAGGATGTAAATATCTAACTGCAAAGACTCTGGCACAAGCCAGTAAAGGTGGTCCCAGTGGTGATCGGCACACTGGGTTGCACTGCCTAAAGACCTTGGCCTGCACTTAAACACAATCGGCGCTGACAAAATTACCACCTGTCAGCTGCAGATGACCACCTTACTGGGATCTGCACACATTATTCGCCGATACATCACACAGTCCTAGACACTTGGGAAGTGTCTGATGTGTGTTCCAATACAACAGCCAGCAGAGTGTCTGCTGTGGACTCATCTTGCTGTTTTTCAAATAATAGTAATAGTAATAATACTTTATTTATATTCTGCTCTATCTCCCCAGGGGACTCAGGGCAGATCACAGTGCATATACATGGCAAACATTCAATGCCATATTTGGATAGATAATACAGAGAAAAACAGAACAGAAGGAGGTATATTGTGTTGACGAAGAGCCATCAGGATTTCCTCCTTCCTTTTGGTCACCTGCATTTTCTGGTCTTTTTATTTTATGGTGTCGTAAACTTTCTAATAAAGGGTCACTCAGATTGTGAAAGTTTATGCATTTCAATATACAGTAGAGTCTCACTTATCCAACAGAAACAGGCCTGCAGAATGTTGGATAAGCGAAAATGTTGGTTAATAAGGAGGAATTAAGAAAAGCCTATTAAATGTCAAATTATGTTATGGTTTTACAAATTAAGCATCAAACTAACATGTTTGAAATCTAAGACACCTGGAAGACCAGAGTTTGGAACACACTGATATACTGTAGATTAACCGTTTCTAGAATCCCATATTGATCATAGAGTAATGACACTGATATTGGTCAATTGTCTCCAGAAACTCATCTGGAGCTGGGTGGCTCTGTGTTGGGAGGACTTGGCTTGTGCCTTCCAGCCTAGCAAAATGGGACTGGACTGGATAATCTCTTAAAGGAGAGGGTCTCTTGTGTTTCTAGGATTCTATGTGTTTTGCTTGGGCTAGAAGAGAAGGAGGAAAACAAGAAGACCACAAATGCAAGTTGCTGCAAGACTTTCAGAGGTAAAAGAGTGAGGAGGAGGAAGAACAGAGAGTGCATGGGGGGGGGGAGGAAAGGGGAAGGGAGGGAGAGAGAATCTGGAGCGAAGTGTGTGTGTGTGTTTACAGGAAAAAGGGGGGATCCTCTGCCCACCAAGGCGACAAAGCTTATCTCCCCCTTTCCTTCCTTCCAGCCACAAGGCTTCCCCCTCCCCTCCCCTCCCCTCCCCCCAATTTGGAAACAAGGCTGGGTTGGAGAGAAGTCTCCAAAGCAGCAGAGTGAGGCTCCGTCTGTGCTAAGAGCAGTGAGGGTTCCTTTTTCCCTTATCCCTCCCTCATTTTTCCCCTCCCATCCCTCTTTCTCTTTTGATTCATTTTTCTTCATGCCCTTCCCTTTACAAATGTGCTTTCCTCCTCCTTCTCCCATTTTTTTGTGCACGGGAAAGAAAGCCACCCGCTCTCATGAGCACATATCAAAGGGTACAGTGTTTCCAATCGGCCATATGATGGCGTTGGACCTACCCTTGCTCTTTTATTTCCAATTAACTTAAATCCTATATAGGTCAAATAAAGTTGTCCCAATTTAACCCAGTTTTTTATGTCTAATTTCATAGAATTAGTTGGTCTTAATTTGTGTTTCTCTGAAGATATCTACTGAATCCATATCAGAAGTGATCATAAATGAAATACTTTTTTTAACCCAAAAAATCTATACATCTCTAAACCCATAATGCATTTTAGTGGTTAAAACCACCCAGAAAATGATGTATATATTTGACAATAAAGTATTCATAGTCATGACTGGCATTTTTCATGTCATGTAGCAGTGAATCTACTTCAATTTGAAACTAGCTATTCCAGGTGCTAAACTTCTTTTGAATATAGGGTTCATTGCATTGGATGGTTCCTCTTCAAGCTGAACTTCCACTTGGATTTACTTTTTCACTGACACAGAAAGCACAAGCCACCACTGAATATGCATTTCTCAAAATAAGATTATTTTGGGCGAGGGAGAGACATACATTCTAGAAAAACAAATGCCAGAATATCAATGAGTGTCCACGTAGAGAGAAGAAGTCACACAAACTGATGAAGAACAAGGGCATGTTTAGAATGCAAATTTGGTTCTAAAAGGTGCTGAACAAATAAGACTGATTTTTATAACCATATGCCAAGTCTGCCTGTCTTGCATCAATTCTTCAGTGATGTGGTATCATCATCTTGACATGAATTGGCACTGGCCTCACTGCTGTGTTTTTGTTGTTCTACACATGTGATGAATTACATGGTAAAAATTAAGGAGAAAAAAGAATCAACTTGCTTCCACTTCCACTGCTCAGATTAAAAAAAATATGCAAAATTTATTCTGCATCTGAATGGTGTTTCTTTGTTTCTCCTTAAATCCTAGATTAGTTGACTAAAATTTAGTTGAGTGTAACTACAAATTACTGCATTTTAGTTCTAGTGTGTTACTCTTTGTTATTGTGTGCCATCATGTTGTTTCCAACTTATGGTGAATCTATCATGGGGTTTTCTTGGTGATACTTTTTCAGAAGTGGTTTACCATTGTCTTCCTCTGCTCCAGTCTTTTCCTGCCCACACTTGGCATAGTACTTGTGAGCACCCTATGGGCTTTCTTTTCCCTCCTCTTTATTCCATTCCTAATATAAATTTCTACATTTTTTGTTAGCTATAATTATGGTCTACCATTAACAGCAGAATCACGTGGATCACCATGGCTCTAGAATATGCATGATAATAATTACTACCTGTCTGGTTGAAGATTTGGTGCTATTTACCATTCCTCTTCTGGCAGCAAAATACAGTTACCTGTGCCAAGCTTACTAAACTATAGCCATTGCTATACAGGAGGGGAGTGCAAAGAATATAGAAGCCAGAGAGAGAAGGAAGAGAAAAAGAGAGGATTTAGTAGGACTTATTGAAGCATGAACAGAAATATTTGAAGAGTGCATGCTTCCCTCTGAAAATGCCACAAGTAGGATGCTTTTACTGTAAACATCCAACATTAGATGTTTATGCAAAATGCTAATTTTGAAAGTTCCTTTCAATCTCAAAAAACACACAGGATTTGCTGAGGTACAATCACTAAGGCCCTGTCTACATTGACAGTTTAATGCAGTTTCACAGTAGTATTGAAGAAAATGGTTTTGGTATGCAGATAATTACAAAGGAAATTCTGGAACCAGTTTGAGGCCCTGATAATGAACACACAAACCACAGAGCATTTGCATATTTATAACTTGCTTTTGCTGCTTTTGTAGGTGTTTGTTCTCTGGGTACCATCATTTGCAACCAGCTTCGAGATGCATTAAATGGTCAGTGTGGATGGGGCCTGAGGAGCAAAACCTCAACACAATTCAGAAACAGTGTTTGCGGAATGTTAATGGATAATTGTAGAAAAAGTACCAGAGAAATGACTGACTAGATAGCTCATAGGAATCCTAAATAGGAGAACTTTATGCAGCAACATTTTGATTTAGGTTCTCCCTATACTAATGACTATCCTTATCTTGTTTTACAGAATTACAGAGCAGTTCTTGTGGAAATCCTGGAGTTCCACCCAAAGGTGTTTTATACGGAACAAGATTTGATGTTGGTGACAAAATCAGATACAGCTGTGTGACGGGATATATTCTGGATGGACACCCCCAACTCACCTGTATAGCCAACACAATAAACACAGCCTCTTGGGATTTCCCTGTTCCTATCTGCAGAGGTAAGATAAGACACTAATTAGCCACTTAAGAGCTGAAATTTAAATACTGTTGACTTCAGTAAAAGATCTGAGCTAAGAAATCTCTGGTACATAAAACTACTTGGTTTTGGTGGATTTGTACCTGTCATTACTTAATAGTGCGTGTTTAATTCAAGCTGCCAAATAAAAGATGCAAATATATACTTTTAAAGTACATACTTACTTTGTGGAAAATTAATTGTGAATGAAATATGCTATGCATTTGTCTATGTTCCACTCTTTTCCAAACCATAATGCAAACATCTATTTATTACAACAAAGAGAAGGGAAGCTATTATTACCATATTTGATTTTAGAAATCAATAAGTCATCATGAGCATATTTGTGTTTGTGCAAATTAGGCAGTAGAAAATTTCAGCAACATTTATATTGCTTGTTTTACTAAGGACAATGTCTTGCTTTAATCATCAGAATATATTTAGCAAAAGATGGAAGAATTGTATCTTTTTCTTTTACTTTCTGATAAGGATAAACAGATTATTGATAAGGTCATTAGATGTCAAGTTACTTCCACTGTGACCTGTAGAAAGATGATATATCAGTAGAAGATAGCAACAGTAAAGAATCTCTTAGATGTGAATAGGTATCCTTATGAACAAACCTTGATCTTAAAAGAGTGTTGTGACTATACTTTTAAATATTAGAGGTGTGCATGAAGCCAAAAATCTGCTTTGTTTGTTTATTTTGTTTTTTTTTACAAAATTTGGACAAGCCCTGTTTTGATTCTTAAGTGTTTTGAAAAAAATAGTAATGGATTTGTGTTTTGTCTAAAAAGAAGTTCCAAAAATTAGTTAGTTTTTTGTAACATTATTTGCCCATTCCTGCCAATGAGGACATTTCTGTCCCTCATTTTTAGAGCACACCGACCAATTGTAGTACTCACTGACCACTCAAAGCCCCCCACGTTTCAAAACGTTTCACTCATCCATAGATTTTAACAATTTTTTTGTAATTTTTACAAACAAGATTTTTTTTTAAAAAAAACTACAATAACTAATAATAATATTTATTTATTTATTTATTTATTTATTTATTTATTTATTTAACCGGTCAAAATACAACACGAATAAAAGACAAGGCAGAAAGGAGAGAGGACAGCAGCTGACCGTCTATTTACAGTCAGAATCTTATTTTCCTGGTTCTTCTTTCAGGAAATGTGCTCTTTTCTTGATAGCTTTCAGAATAAAAGGGCTTACTCTGATTGTGGTGGATCTTTTCTGTCCTTGCAAGAGGAACGTCAGAAGATCATTCTTGTTGGGGGACCTGCAGTTGGATAATACTGGATGTACAAGAACTATTCCCTTGAATGTCTCTACAACAACACAATATAACCTGGACACCACTCCCCCCCCCCAAGTTTAAGAAAAAAATGCACTTCTACTGATTTTTAGAGTATTTTTAAGTTTTCATTCTCTCTCTCTCCTAACTCCACAAAACACAGATGCTTTTTTTGGGGGGGGGGGAGACACTTTGCAGATTTCAGAAAATATTAAAACACACTCACAGCACTTTGCACTGAATTGAATTATACCTTTAAAATCAAAGGAAAGCAAGAATCTGAAATGGACCCTCCCCACATGCAAAGAAAAATGATCCTAAAAGGAATCTTAAGCTAAGGCAAACTAAGCTTGCATGGCACACGTCACAACAGAATTGCTCACTAACCTAGATCTCCAGCTCTCTCTCAGATCACTCATAATGGCAACTGAGACAATGTGGGTCCTAGACTTAAAGGAAATTCTGCGAGTTCCTCCTCCCTTACCTCTCCCTCAGCCCTGATAGGCTGAGGAGAGCATGTGACATACCAAGTTTGCCTGTATCGCCCAGTACAGTTTGCTCACACTGATCACTGCAACTTACAAAAGTAACAAACTTCTTACAAAATCTCCATAGATTGCTGTTTTTATTCTTTTGTGTGTGTGTGGGGGGGGGGGGGAGGCACATGGCATTGCCTTTATAACGTGGTATGTGCAGACTTACTGAATCACTTATGACCCACTTCTGGATTGTTGCACAACCCTATTCAATATGACTATTATTTGTTTATTTTATTTCATGTTAAAACCATTTTTATCTGGTTCTATGATCAGAATGAATTGATAAATTGAATCAGTTATCTTATTAAAATAAGGCAAATGCACATTTTTTATGTGAAGCCTTATGTTGTTTGAATTCAAGTGGTTAAGTAACTAGACAGTAACAAATTAATTCACTGTCAGCCAAAGAACTGAATGTATGTTTGGTGAAGATATGTGTATGCACAAGGGCATGTGTCTGTGTTTGTGGCTGAATGTAGGTGATCAACAAGCTGCCGTTTATGAAAGATACACTAGCAAAGTAAGTGCAGTAAAGAGCCAGCAGAAACTGAACAGTGACAGAGAGTGAGGTGACTATCTGTGCATAAGAGCTGAGAAATATTTTTCTAGTAAGGTCATTCAAGAATGTTTTTTATTGCAAAATGCATGACTTATCTCTCTGTGTAACAGATCCATAGATATTTCATCCTAATATTCTTTAGACAATCCCTTTAAATCTAACAGCTGCCTTTGTGGTTGTCCTTGTGCCGTCAGAATCCATGTACAGTGCATTTTTCCTATAAATACAGAGTTATAGAAACTGTTCCTATCAGAAAAGCTACTGAAGCTTTATCAGTGCCAGATAAAGCGTATTATTTCTGTTCAATAAATAAAACTGGGAAATAGTACTTGCCCTGGAATATTAGGGGGAGCTTTCCATAATAACCTACCTGTTATTGTACAGTACCATTTCCCCCTTTTATGGCACATACAGCCATTTTGATTGTATAATTGTCACAATCACATAATAGTCACACACCTTGATAGAGACCTGTTTTTGATATTTTATGATTCCTCTCATACACATGATTTAGACTGCCTCCCCCATTGTAAACAGCCTAGTATTCCCTTCCACTCACTCTCGTGTCCATCTACTCCCCCACCCATTCCCCCACCACTTCACTCATATAAACACTCACTTGCATGGCCATCTGTCTGCCTGACCTAGGAACGCCACGTCAAGGAGTGAATGGGGTTAAAACAGCGTGGAACAGAAGACCAGGTGTACTATAAAAGCAGCTGGCTCTGCTGGCTTTGGATAGTTTCTGAAGTCTCATTGTCAAGGAAATAAAGATTGTCAGTGAGAAAACGGATGACAAGGGATAATTCTCCCTCATCCTCATAGCTAGGTCCATCTCAGAGGTTTTAGTGATTCCTGGTGGCCTAACTTCTCTCTTGCAGCCACTGGATGTATCGGTGAACAAGCTCTTTAAAGGCCACTTGTGGTGTTCATATAATAAATGGATGATGAGCAGTGATCAGCAATTGATTCTCACTGGAAATGTGAAGCACCCATTCTTCGAACTGATGTACACATGGGTCATTAAGAGTTGGGACCTTATCACAGAAAATTTTGTTTTGACAAGCTTTTAAAAACCTGGCTTGTCTAAGGCACTGGATGGAGCAGAAGATGATGCACTGTAGGGTGATGGGAAGGAAAAAAAACACCTCACATGAGCAGTGCTGAGACACCACACCAGATAATAAAAGCAATGACCGTGGTGTGGAGTCTCCTGACATGGAATATTTAAATGTTTAAATATATCAGTTTGTTTTTCTGGACACACTTATATATATTTCTCAGGTTGTTTTCAATTTTGCTTTATTTGAAAGTTACTGTTTCAGAATTTTTTTAAAAAAATGTTTTCCCCTTGTGTAATACTCAGATCTCCCTCTTTTTTTGATAAAGGATGGGTGGGGGGAGTTTGACTATTATATGGTAAAATATGGTATATAAGGGGAAGAGGAATGTTGGTCATTGAAGTGCATTACCTTGTAGTGAACAGATGAGGTATCACCTTGAGACGGGCATGTAGCCGGGGGGGGGGGGGGCTTGAGGGGCTTCAGCTCCCCCCCAAAAAAATTCTCATGGTGGTCCACGAGTAGGCCTTACTGGTACATTATTTAAACTGTTATGTTTATTCATATCATGATCTGATCACGATGCTCAATATATCCCATATGCATGGGGGTATTGGGGTAACGATACAAAAGGTTTGCTAGGGTAGACCCTCTTTCACTCAGACTCATCCCCCCCCCGAATCGAACTCAGCTCCCCCTGAAACAAAATCCTGCCTACGGGCCTGCCTTGAGAATAAGGAATTTATGTCCACTGAATAAACTAAGAATCTGTGTTCTATTGCAACATTAAATAGAAGTAAGAAGCAAAGCTACATGTCAGGATCAATCCAATGTATTTTTCTTCTTAAATGCAAGATATATTGCCTTAAATCAATTTGTTAGTAAAAAAAATAGCACAAAGCCTTTGATTCAGTGACCCTTAAGTAAGGGTTGGTGAATTATATTGCCATTGATTCAATGGGTCTACCCTAGGACTAACAATTGCATTTAAGCCATAATGTCCGAGGCCAATCACATGAAGCCAAAAAATCTAACATGTACCCCTCCCAAGAATAAAAATGATAATAAATTTAAATACATACAAATCTGATGTACTTATTGCCTGAGACCATTCTTCTAATGGTAAAGACACTGTGGAGGTTCTAGGCAGATTCCACCACCAAAAAGAGAAACAATGCTCTGTTTCTGCACCTAGAACACATTATTTTTCCTTGTCCTTGCTTCTCCAGTGGTACACATACATGTATTTGGTATTGATATTTCTTCCCTATCCATGCTTTACTTAGACCTTCAGCTTAAAATAAATATTTTGTCTTTTAACTTGTGTTATGGTCGTGTGGGTTAGCAACAAGAAAACAAATGAAATCCAGAAGAAAGAATGAATAAACAAAGGGGCTAATCATATTATTTGACATGCAGTAGCTACGCATAAAGTAACAATAAGATGAAATTCTGAGACTGCGATCACTATCTTATAAGTGCTCACTGATAGATAACTTTAGTAAGTCTTTAATTGATATTACT